ATGACACTGGTAGTAACCAGTGTTAGGGTGAGCTACTTGGTGAGTGAAAAGATGGCACACAGAGAAGCTCTGGGGAGAACTGAAGAATCATGGCAGCAGCCTGGCATGTATAATTAATTATTAAACACATGTTAATTACATGTTTCTAGAGATTGGCTGCTGGAGATCAGTTTCTGAAATTTATAGAGAGCCTCTTTTAATTTTTCCAAGCCTGCTGGTTTTCACTGCTTAACCAGTTAAAAAAACATTAGTAAGACACAATTCTTAGGGGGAATGGGTGCTCTTCATTTGGGTGAAATGGATAAAAATGAAAACCCCAAATGGCACTATTTGTCTATTTCACTACTCTCCCATTCCTGATTCCAGAGTTTTTTTTTTTAGATATTCTATTCTTTTCTACAATGAATAAGGCTGTCAAATAGATGTAACACTAATGACACCTCTTAGACGAAAATGTTGTAACCTGGGCCCCCAATTCCCTGGTGTCTTTACCCTAATTCCCTAGACAAATTATGAAGGAAAAGGAATTAAAGCATTATCTGAATAAGTCAGATATCTAGCATTTACTTCAGGCTTGCCATGTACCTGTTTTAAGCAGGTTAAATGCATTAAGTATCTCAATCCTTGGAACACCTTTTTGATATCTTGGATATTATTATTATTCAATTTTATAGAAATTGAGGCACAGAGATGTTAAGTAACTTGCCCAAAGATCCAGGTAATCCTATTCCAGGGTAATTTTCTTGACCACTGGATTACACTTTTCTTGAGATGGGCATGGCAGCAGTTTTGACCCTTGACTGGGCTCATTTCCTTGTTTTTTGTTTGTTTTTGCCCCCACCTTTGTCCACCAGAAGCAAGCTTGCTACTGGCTAACAGATTTCCCTGGGGTGGTTATATAGGAAGCAGAGATGTATTTCTCAGTGACTTATTTCATCATAAATTTCAATCATAGGTGCAGAGTATAATTGTTCTATTGTTTCAAGACAATTTTAATGAATGACATTATTCTCTGTCAACAGTTGGGAAAGTATGGGGCTCAGGGACCAAATTCATCTGTAATCTGATGGTATAAATAAAGTTTTATTGGAACATATAACTACACCCATTCTTTTACATATTGTTCATGGATGCTTTCATGCTATAATGGCAGAGTTGAACTATATGGCTTGCAAAAATATTTAAATATTTATTTCTGGTTACTATAGAAAAATTTGCAAACTCCTTCTTTGTTCCTGATTTTTCCAGTAGATGCAGAAAAAAGACTATCGTTGATTCAAGCTACATTTTGTTTCTACTTATCAGAGGAAAAAAGTATAATGATGTTAAAAAGGATAATTTCCTAAAGATTCAGTATCTACTTATTTTGCATAAAACTATCAAAGTTGAGTAACTTACAAACAGAACTTTAAGAACTATTCTAATCAAGTAATTGAGCTATGCAAGGCACTGCTTGAGGTACTTTGGAGGTGGGGTAGAGTAGAGAGCTTTTCACAGTTTCAGATAAGAAGGTGTTCCCTGTTTATTGAGGAGATGTAAACACAGACTCCTGATATAATGAATTTTTTTACTCTGCCCTAGTTGTTAATTTATGCTTCTAATATGAGATCTAGCACAATCAGCTTTCCTATAGACTTATATATATAATATCTCTGCATTAAATGGTGAGAAACCAGAGATAACAGAACATCACTTATTCAACTTTGTATTCCTCACAGTGCCTAAGAGAATGCTATGCACTTTCCAGGCACTCAAAATTTGTTAAGTTTGGCTTTACTGTCATAAATAAAGATAAGATGCAGTGAAAGGAAGTATCTCATAGTGCCAGTGCATGAATTCATCTGTCCCTGCTTTCAACCTTACTCCTTCCCATATCCATCTGGAGCTAGCCCTGTTGGGAGCTACTAAGGAGGGACAAAGATATTCAAAGAGTATTATGGTGCACACTGTAAAATTGATTAAAATATCTGAGCAATTTTTTTCTCTATAAGAAAAGAAGATGCTTTTTAATATAATGTCAGGAAAAACTGTGGGATTTCATTGGCCTTCCACATCATTGGAACAAAATATAATAAGTACCTAATGAAGATATTGTGCATCCTGGTGGGAATCACTTTACAGAGAAAGGAAGATATTATAACTCTTTAGATTTAATTAGTTTTCTCTAGCAGTATCAGAAATCTCTTCTTTTAGCCCTCTCTAAAAGCAAAAAAGAGGGGCCTCAATCTGTCAATTCCCTTCTGTGACAAATGGCTAAGATTGGTCCTTCTTTTGCTTTCTACTTTAAATACAAACATTAAGTAATACCAAGATTGCTTCTGAATCCTGTCCTCCCACTGGAGTTGCTGATATAATTTGCCTCCTGGGACTTGGTCAGATGTCTGCTCCTAATTCTCAACGATCACATACTTCCACAGGGCATGCTTATTTCTTTTCAAAGAAGCGGCACAGAATGGATCCAACTGCATAGTAATACATCCCATGATGAAACCTCCTGATTGATTCTGCTTGCTGAAGAGAGCTCATTTTCTGAAAGTGCACCTAAAGAATTTTGTGTGGTCTCATCCCTTCTCCTGTGACCTATTAGTAGCTTCTTTGACTGGGTTCCAGAATTCTGAATTGGTTCAGTGGCAGATTCAAAAAGCTTTCTTTTCATCTTGACTGCTGCTCTCAGAGCTGTCTCTCTCCCACAGAGGGTTCTTTTTTTAAACTATCCTTTCTAAGGATTTTTACTGTAACCCCACAAGGATTCAAGTTTTATCTTCCTTTTGTTCCTTTTCAACATCAATTAGTTGGCGAGGCAAACTGAGACAAGATAAATGTACAGTTTTGAACTAGGAATATAATTCAAAGCTGACATTGGCTTATCAGCCTGATATTTCTCTATTCTTGTCCCTTAAATATTTGATGGCATAAAATACAAATGTTCAATAAATGTTTGTGAAATGGAGTTGAGTTGAAGTGCAACATTCAGGAATGAAAAAAAAAAATGGCAAAACTAAAAACAAAAACAAACCAAGACAATCCAAACAAAACCAGCCCTTAAAATCTGAAGTGAAACATCTATTTTAAAATCCTCACTACTTTCATCCTACACACAGTATACTAATTTCAAAAGAAAGAAAATTATCCCTTAAGTCAAGTTAAGGAACACCTTTTAAACTATGGTTATCTAACCGAATCACAAAAATCTTCGTGTTCATATGTTGTGAGGCCTGGATGAGGTTGACAAATTCTAAGAGGAGAGAAAGTAGGAACCCCACAAAACCTTCTGCTGAGGTATTCCCAACAGTGTAGGATTAAATTACCACTTTACAAATGAACAAAAAGAATGCTTTTTAGACAAAAGTATTTTCTTCATTCACAGGTTATGAAACTCTCTTGAGTAAATAGCTTCGATGTATCCAGTGCTGTGACAACAAGGGCAGAAACTGATAACCATTATGGTGGCGCTGTTTTCTTACTAATAATTTCTAGTCTGTTTTGGTAGGTCATTGAATAAGAAAGGCAAAAATAATCCTATGGCACTATCATCAACTTGAGTTTTATTGGATTTAAATTAAAGTACCAACTTAAACAGAGTGCATATATGCTTGGCATGCATTTCTATGGTCTCCAAAAAGGGCACATTGGGATGCAGTGTGGACATGAGCCAGGAGCCTGGGCCCAGAGCAGAAGAATTCCCAGGGGTTGGCTGCTGCTTTCACTATGAGCTGTTTTTAGTTGGTGAAATACATTTTTTCCCAAAGAAATACCTTCCAATTCTATACAACTTAAAAAATTGTAAAGCCAGAAAGTCACTTTGCTTGTGGATTTCAATTATTATGTTTGTGTCTTTTGTTTCCCTTGCAATGCGCTATTACCTCCAAATTTCATGGTTGTCTACCAGCACTTAGATTTTGTATATAAAACAAGTTTTTCTTTTTCCTTTTCTTCTCTCTTTCTCTTTTAACATAAATAAATCAGACTTTCTAAAGCCATCATTTAAACATGGGTACTTCTGCTCTTGGGGGATAAATAATGCTAGCCTAGTTCTGACAAGTTAGTTTCTTTCTAAAATATAACATAAATTCTTAGTTTTCATTTAATGTTCAAAACTTCTGATTTCACTCAGATTTCCAAAATGCTTCTTTTAGGCATTTTACTCATAGTTAAATAATAAAAGGTGTAAATTCTGTTTAGAGAGTACAGAATGATGAATCAATTTAGCAAACTATTTCAAAGTGAAAGAGTAAATCATTTGGGAAATAATAAATTGCCTACAGTAGATAATCTATTAAAGTGCTGAAACATTACATCTCCAATATAAGAAATTGTTAAAACTATTGTGCATTCATTTCAAAAGAGATAAAACAATTGTCACATTTTGAATACTGCAGGTAATACATGTTAGTGATGTTCAGTAAGAGAAGAAAGAGGACCATAAATTCTGGTTATAGAAACCCTTGTGAACATATTGCATAATAATGCAGAGGTAGATGGATGGATGGATGTATGTAGAGATATTTCCTTAACAAATACTGTTAATATTACTTTTTTTTTTTAAAGAACAGCTTATATTAAGATTATAGACATTGCTTAAAGAGCGATAGGAATTTTCCTGATTGTCAGATGAATCCCAGCTTTGGAATGCCTTTTTCCAAGTTAGCAAGTATTGAATGTAATTCATATTTAGTGATTTATATCATAAAAATATGCTCTGAAACATTTGCAGCATTTATGTTTTACTGCTATAGCCATATGCCACCAAATTCATATGCTTGCTATATTCTTTCTTGTCGGTTCAGAGCCTGTTTGTAAGTCATGTTCCATTGGATGACTCATAAATTAAAGATACTTCTAAAAAAACTGCAAAGAACTAAGATTTCTTTTTGGTAATGCTTCGCACACTAGACTAGAAAAGTTTTCCCACAATATTTAAATGAATAATTCATTGATTCAATAGGCTAACATTTGAGAAAGAATCATGACATATTGGAGGTCAAACATTTAATACTTACTGTAGAGAATTGTTCCATTTAAAGCGTTTGTTTTTATAGTCAAGTAGATGGTCACAGTTCTGGTGTGTTCCTTCTGCAGGACAGACTTCAACTCATCCAGAGTTGGAAAAAAAGGAAGTTCTAAATAGGAATTCCCATTGAAAGATGGAAAAAATAAACCCGCATCTAAAAGAAAAAAGTCAAATTAATATGTTCTGATGGCATTATATTGCTACTCAAGTAGATAAGAACCAATCATTTGTAGTTAGCATTCATTTAAAAAGGTAACACTGATATTTGTAAAAATAGGTCCACTTTTAAGAAATTTAGATAGAGAAGTATAATAAATTTACAGTCATTGTCTCAAATAATTAATCACTGGTCTAGAGAAAAAGACTTTGAGTAAGAATTTTAATTTGATGGTCATGGATGGGTTTTAAGGGACAACAAACACCCTGAAATTGTATGAAGAATATGTACACTTGCATATGTATGATCATAGTTTTCATCAGATTTTTAAAATATTTTGTGGTACAAATGGCTACAAAAGTTTTCAAAACATCAAGTTATACACTTAAAATTAATGACTTTTATTTGACATAATTATACCTCAATAACAACTTAAAAAACATCTGTGACACACAAAATTTAGAAAACTGTCACATAGAGGCATTTTATTAATATTCAATGATTTATAATAATACTTTGATAAGATATAAGTAGTACTATAATATACTAAGTTATTAGTTTTAGAATTATTCTTATAGAATTATGTTTTTTTTTGTTTGTTTGTTTGTTTGTTTTGAGGCAGATCCTCGCTTTGTTGCCCAGGCTAGAATGAGTGCCATGGCGTCAGCCTAGCTCACAGCAACCTCAAACTCTTGGGCTCAAGCAATCCTGTTGCCTAAGCCTCCCGAGTAGCTGGGACTACAGCCATGCACCACCATGCCCGGCTAATTTTTTCTATATATTTTTAATTGTCCAATTAATTTCTTTCTATTTTATAGTAGAGACAGGGTCTCGCTCTTGCTCAGGCTGGTTTTGAACTCCTGACCTCAAGCAATCCGCCCGCCTCTACCTCCCAGAGTGCTAGAGTCACAGATGTGAGCCACGGCGCCCAGCCCGTAGAATTATTCTTATAGAATTATTAGTGTTTTCGATGACTAATTTCACAAAATCTTGAGGTACATAAGATTTGAAAAGTATTTTTTATTATATATCTATATTTATATCTCTATAATTGATATGTTGAAAAGCCATAGTACATGAGCTATTGGAAATGATACTTTATTTTTTGTCTTTCTCATAATGGGGGAAATTTTCTCTGATACCGCATGAAAATCTCATAGTTCCTATGAGTCTCTCTAAGTCATACAATAATTCAGAAACTAATATCCAGTCTAATTAATTTATTAACACTTAAATTTTCCATCGTAGATAGGATTTCTCCCACATCACTCCACCAGCCAAGTACTGTAGGTGGCCTGACACCTGCCATCTTCCTTGGGCAGAATAAGTGGATTTCGGTTCTTTCCATCTTTTTACCACGCCCCGTATCTTAAGGGTAGTTGCTGTTTCCAACCCTTCTATGTTTGCATGGGGAGAAAGCAAGGTGAGGTAGAAAGGAGAGAAAAGTACATGGTAAAGAGGAGCTGTTAGAATTGGCAGTTGATATTGTTGTAAGCAGGCTTCTTGCTCTCTAGTAATGGTGTATGTTTAAAATTATTTCTCTCATGGTAGGGATGCCTGTAGAGTATGCTCAGTTAAATCTGAATTTCAGATAAACATCGAATACATTTTTGCATAAGTATGTCTCAAACACTGCATTAGATACACTAAAAAAATTGCTGTTTATTTGAAATTTAAATTTAACTAAGTGTCCTGTGTTGCTACATCTGACAACCCTATGACTCATGACATTTGTGCAATCTTTGGAAATCCTTTGTGAACTGCATCTCTTAGGACTTGTATTTATTGCCTGTCTTTGGCTGATCACTTTTGCCTTGATTCTATTCATTAGTATTTTTCATGTTCTATGCAGACTCTTGCTGTTGATGATGACTTGCCTGTGTTAGTGCAAAAGTTGCACAGATCAAATTAAACAGTCAAGGAAGACTTTTCTCAAGACTATTGTAATGGGGGAGAGAGGCCAGACCTCAGTTTGACCACAACTCTTTTGAAATAAAGGGTGGGAGGATTTTTAAGAGCTGGAGTAAGAGGGAAAACACAGGCCATCTGTGTTTGCCAGTTGGCTTTACACAAAGGAAAAGTAAACTTTCTATATCTTTGTATCAGGAGGTAGTTTGCAATGTGGAACAAGGGACCCATTCAAATTAGGCACTTACCCTCCCCCAGAGGCTGAGAGATAGGGGTGCTATCTTCTTTGATGATTACATTTCAAAGGGATGGCTCCCAAGTCCTTGAGAAAGACATTCCTGGCTTGTAAAACTGACCAAAAGCTCTTAAAAAGATTTACATTTCAAATGGGGCAGAGAAAGAAATTAGAGTTGAACGTTTTCTAAAGTAAATGTTCCAAGAAAGTCAGGGACTGAGAATAAGGAAGAAGCATGTCTGAAGTTTAGTCAAGCTGAGGGGAGTGTGAAGGCCATCTTGGTTACCCATTTAGGCGAATCATATGGGGAGAACATAAAATGACTCTAGGCCAACTCTTTTTTCTGAGAGGTTCATTTCTAGTCCATGGTAAAGACCCCTATTTTTCCTGCCATTCCATGCCCTACTATATGTGGGGGTATAGTTATTTCGCAAACATAGTCTCTCTCTCTCTGTCTCTCTCTCTCTCTTCTTCCACCTATTCTCCCTCTACACATACACACACAAACAAGCTGCTTTAACTTTTTCTCAGGTATGACTATATGGTGTATGGGTCCATGGTCCTTGGTGTTACTTTCCAAGTGATCCAGTTGAAACTATCCCCAAACACATAGTGGGATGTGGTGAGTGGGAGAGAGTGAGGAGTGAAGTCCATAAAATAGCTTTCTACAAAACCATTTTCCTCAAAATTATGTCTCAAAAATCTTTTTTTCTTCTGCAAACACTGACATTTTTTATATCAAGAATATTTCCTAGGAGCTAGAGCCCATTCTACTAAGTGAAGTATCATGAGAATAGAAAAACAAGCACCATCAAATTGGTACTGATTGATGAACACTTATGTGCACATATGGCGGTAACATTCATCAGGTGTCGGGTAGGTGGGAGCCAGGAGGAGAGGATGGCTATATTCACACCTAATGGGTGCAGTGCACACTGTCTGGGAGGTGGACACGCTTATAGCTCTGACTTGGGCGGGGCAAAGACAATATATGTAACCTAAACATTTGTATTCCAGTAATATTCTGAAATTAAAATAAAAAAGAATACTTCTTAGTTAAATCTTACTTTTAGGTATGGCACCTCATTTTGTTTGCAGTATTATATCCTTGTGTGACAGGGAAAGTTTACTTTTGATATCTTGTTTATGTCTATAACTTAGGGTTACTTGTCAAGCATGAATAATAACACTTATCTATTAACAAACTGCCTGTTTAAGTTATATGGCATATATTTAAGTTATATGGCATCACATATTTTACCCTATCTTGGCCTTTTACACATAATCTTTAACTCCTTAAAATTTACCTACCTGGTTGTGTATTTTATTGAATCTGTTTTTGTCAAAAGTTATTAAGGCCTTGTTAGCAAATCCTTCATCAGTGCTCGCATGACTAAAAATCTCTGTAATATTAAATATTCATTTTTATTAAAACTTTCTCTTTCCTCGCCTTTCATGACACTGTCCTATACTTTGGCTGTCTTCTTACCTACCTGATAACTTTTTTGCAGACTGTTCTTGCAAACATTCCATAATGCACATAGTTTGCAAGGCTCTGTCTTGGGTCATCTAATCATCTCTGCCTTTTCTAAATCTGTTCCTCCTCCAGTTTCTTACTCATAGCGCTTGCTCTTCCCAGCCTAGAAACTCAGCATCATTATCCACCCGTCTCTTTTCAAACTAGTTGCTAGTTCCTGACACATCTTTTTTAGAACAAACCTAGCATCTTTCCTTCTGCTACCACTACTCTTATTTAAGTTCTCATTACATTTTAACTCAGCTGTTGCAACAGCTTCTTTCTAACTGGCCTCCCTTCGTAGAGTATCTATTATCTGTCATTGCTGTCATGTCAATTTCATTCAATTGTAATCATCTAAGCTCTTTGGTCAAAAACCTTCAGTGACTACAGAATAATTATCAAGTAAGCCAGGCCCTTCACGGTCTTATTTTTCAATCCTTCCAGACATACATATTTACTGGTAAGGTTGAACCACACTTTCTTCTGTTGCTCATACTGTTTTTTTCTGTCCAGAACATGCTTCCTCAAAATCCTAGGTTTAAAAATCCTCTCTTAATTCAGGGTGCACTTGAATATTTTCCCAAATTTGAACTCCTTATAGCATTGTATCTCCAACTCATTTAGTCTATGCATTGCTTTCTGTCTTATGTTACAATTTTTTGTTATAGATGTTGAGTAAAAGTGATGATAGTAAATCTGTTACTTTGGATGAGGGAAGTAAATTGACTTTAATTAGTAGAAATAGAATGTTCTAAGTAAATGAATTCTAAGAAGGCATTGGGGGAAATATGAGTTTAGAATGTGAGTTTGCTTTCTCGTGATCAGAAAAGCCCATAACGCAGTTGGAATTTCATTGGAGTAGAATGTTTGACAGAAACTGAACTGCACATGCACCAGTTTTTAATAATATTATAAGGAGAAAAACCGTATGCCAATTAAGTTAAAATGTAATGTAGCTAACAATACACTGGGGGAATTTTGGATGAGGAATTTGGATGCTGTGCTAGAAAGGAAAATGGTTAAGATTACAAGGAGATAGACTTGGGATATAAATAGATAGGATCCTTAGCATATAAATTGGCAACTATTTGGATGGTGTCTATCTGTTGAGTCTACCATAGATAGGGATTTAGACTCTGTTTCCTCATGTTATTTTTACCTATTCCACTGGTAATTTATTCATTTATTCAACCAATAGCTATTGTTCATTTATTTACAAAAACATGTGTTCATTTATTCAACAGAAATCTATTGAGTGACTGCTACAAGCCAGGTACTCATCAAGGAATACAGTGGCGAGAAAAATATATAGACTTCACCCTCATGGAGCTCAGA